AAAAAAAAAAAAAAAATCTGTTGGTAAAACAAGCAAACAGAAAAAGAATCTGTTGGTAACTGCTTCTAGTTTGGGCTTGGAGAAGAAAGCATTTGGGAGAAATGAAGAGATACTGAGAAAGGTGAAAGGACAAAGAGAAAGATGAGGAATGCTGCAAGAAATGGAGATATTAGGAGGGACAAGGGATGCTGGGAGAAGTGGAGGATGGTGCTGGGAGAAGAGGGAAGCTGGAAGAATTAGGGAATGCAGGGAAAGGACAGCCATCTCTTGGCCTGCAAGAGCCAAGAATGCCTCTGACAAATTGGCTGCCTGGATGAGGAAACTGAGCTTCCAGCTGCAGTTGGAGTCCAAATAGGAGGGCTGGGGCAGACCGGGAAAACAGAACCACAGCCTCCCTGACCTCTAAGGGAATAAGGAAGATCAGCCCACTCACAGTGAAGCTCTTCTCTAGGCCCAGTGGCTCCAGCTCAAAGTTAGACATGCAGACTTTTCATTCAGGCTTTGAACCTGAAGGATGCCAAGATTTCCCCACTAGTGCCAGGTCATTCCTTCCTTCCTTCCTTCTTGGCAGGGCTGGGAGTCAAACTCAGGACCTGTCACTTGCTAGGTGAGTACCCTACCACTGAGCCACAACCACAGCCACAGTCAGGCTGTTTAGCTGCATAAGGAACTGCTGGGTTGGGGGAATGTGGCCTTTTTCTTTTGCCTTTGGACTGATACTCTAGTGTAGGGTTAACAGCAGGAGCCTTGTATTAGATATACTTGATTTAATACATGCTTTCCTGCTAGTGGGCTGTGTGACTGCAGGCAAGTTGCCAGACTTTCTGAGCCTTGATTTCCTCATCTTCAAATGGGGGTGTGAATTCCTAACATCTAATGACGTAGGTATATGTGTGTGCATAGGTATATGTGTGGGGGGATTAAATGACATAAAGTCTCTAACATTAGCTGCTATTAATATTCTTATTATCATTATTTGTCCCTATAGTCCTTTTATTTCAGTTAAAATATTCCTGGCTTCAACTCAAGGACCATGGCCCGCATTACAATCCAGGCTTTTTTTTTTTTTAGTACTGGGCACTGAACACAAGGCCTTCACACTGAGCTACGTCTCTGGCCTTTTTAAAATTTTGAGATAAGGTCTTGCTAAATTACTAAGTTGCTGGGCTTGAATTTGTAATCCTTCTGCCTCAGCCTCTCAGAGTGCTAGGCTAACAGTTGTGTGCCACCATGCTTGGGGATAACAGTCCAGGTTTTATAGTCCTCAAACATTCCTGAAACGAGGCAGCACCATCTGTGTGGCCATCCCCATCCCTGGCTGAGAGTTTGGGCTCTGTGACTCTCATTCTTCTGGTTTCTAGTGACCACCTCTCTTATATGTCCCCTATGGGATTGTGCCTGGTGGGCAGCCTCAGAGCTCTAGTTCCATGAAAGAAGCAAGGATGTGTGAAAAATTAAGGCACAAAACCAATGCTAAGAAGAAGCAAAGCAGGGATTGCTTCTAGTCAGCAAGACGGAAGATGAGGTAGTTTAGGAGGAAACTCTACAAACCATCAGGAAATTTAGAGGCTATGTTCCCTCACCTCTGAGGAGTCTTTTATTTCAACATAATAATGGATATATTTTATATGCATGGCTGAACTGCATGAAAATAAAAGAAGCCTCAGGACCAGAAGCTTAAAGGAAGTTGAATCACAGTGGTGAGGGGCCATTCTGCTTTGCTGGCCTTGAAAGCCCTTTGCTGGTCTGGGTAACTCAGAGATTTAGGCTCTAGTGGCCAACAGGGACAAGGGACAGTTCTGAGCCTACGAGAAGAAGAAGGTAGAACCACAATGCAGCATGTACACTCTAGTTCCATTTATGGAAGGTGTCTTTCTCTGCCTGTTTACATCCCATTTACAGGATAAAAATGAGAACGCTGACACACAGATATGCCCCCAGCTGACTGTGAAGGGGAAGGTAGAAACAGGTTACAGAATTATATGGACCTGAGTTGGGTGTGATGGTGCATGCCTGTGATCCCAGCACTCTGGGAAGCTAAGGCAGGAGGATCAAAAGTTTGAACTTAGCCTCACAACTTAGCAAGACCCTGTTTCAAAGTAAAAAAATAAAAAAAGGGCTAGGAGTATAGCTCAGCACAAAGGTCCTGGCTTCTATTCTCAGCACCACACACACACACACACACACACACACACACACACACACACACACACACACAAAAGAATTATATAGATCTGATGATTCAGTTTTATTGGAACAAACAATACAACTTCCTCTCTACATATACACATGCTCATGTGTATGAGTATGAACAAAGACAAAGGTGTAGAAGGACAGATATAGGAGGACCTTCAGGGTACCAAAAAGGAGAGGGTGACCAGGACCGAAGTACAGAAGTCAGGAGCTTCTTGTGTCCTTAGAGAAGGAGGGACACAGAGATGCAAATCCAAACAGCATTTATATTAGGATATATTTATCATTTAGATTAAGATGTATAATTTATTTATTTATTTTTTGTACCAGAGATCAAACTTGGGTCCTTGCTCTTGTGAGGCAGGCGGTGGAACCACTGAGCTAAATCCCTGGCCCCTTGTAATTTATTGACATAAATTATATTACTGCCTTGCATTAATGCTACAAGAAACATCCATACATTGCTTTCCTTGTGACAACACACTTGCATCATTGACTTGGAACCTGAAAAGTAACAAAGGCAACTAAACACAAACAAGTGACCCAATGAAAAAAACTCCTGCACCGTTTGTAAGAGCATAGCTGTCCTGATCTCCTTGAAGGGCCTTTTGCAATTGCTTTTGAACATCTCAGTGTACCTGATGTACCTCCTGCTCCCCAGCCCAGGAGCTCTGCTTCTGCCTAGGACCCCAGGTGGACACAAAGCTGTCTGCACAAAGACGGTGGTTGCCACATAGCTAGTATAAATTACTCATTGCAAAGGGCCTCTCGTTCATTACAGCTGACAGATCTCCCCCGTACAGTGGAATACTTAGCAGCTGGTAGCAAAAGAGGCAGCTTCACAGTTTTCAAGACAGAGTGAGTGAGAAGAGAAAGGTGAGGAACAGCATCTTATTAATTTCCTTGGGCTGTCGTGGGTGGCTGCAAACAGCAGACTTTTTTTTTCTTACACAATTTTGGAAGCCAGAGGTCTAAAAGGGAGGTGTCGGCAAGATCATGCTCCCCGCTCTAAAGGCCATAGGGAAGGAACCTTCCTCCTCCTTCCCAGCTTCCGGTGGCTCCTTGCGAGCTGCAGTGCTCCAATCTCTGCTCTGACTTCACCAGGACTTCTCTGTCTCTCAGTGTCTGTCTCTCTCTCCTCAGGACACTGGCCATTGGATTAGGGTGCCCCCCAATCCAGAATGGCCTCTCTTTAGTTTAATGACCTTTGCTTATTTCCAAATAGGGAGCATTCTGGAGTTCCAGGTGGATATGAATTGTAAGAGATGCTGGCCTACCTGCTGCAAGCATGTGCAGGGTGCTACCATTGAGATTAAAGGTCGGGGAGGCCCCTGAGTGCTCTGGGGTGGTAGCCGGAGGCTGGTGGGGAGTGCGCATGTGAGAAGTCCCTGGAAGGAAGCCCACAGAAGCTGGAACTACTGTGCAGGGAATGGCAGGAAGAGGATGTTGGCCCTGCCCTTCCAGCCCATTGTGGGACAGAAGACTTGTGCACGGAGGCTGGTGGCGGAAGAGGGAGGTTACAGCCATGAAGAACTGTGCTCCCACAGCCTCTATCTTCCTGCCTGGGAGGGACCAATCCCACCGCTGACCTGCAGGCCACCAAGTCTGGTAACGGATGCTTCTGGAAGTTCCAGAAGAAGCTTTCTTGCCCAGAATGGGTCCCACCTGGAGGAGCTCAACCTCCATTACCCCTTGGAAAGAATGAGACCCCCCTGAGTTTTGAATTTCTCTGTCTTTGCACATAGCTTGTTTCTCATCATTTGTCAGAAGGGTGGTGAAGGCCCCTCTCTGCCTGCTCCCCTCTCTGTGCCTGCTCGGGCTACTGGAACCACTCTCTGCCCCTGGCCTCTGTGATCTAGCCTCCTCACCAGCACAAGGAGCTTTCCTTCTTTGCATGCCAAACTCTGGGCACACAAGTGAGGGAAGTTCTACTCAAAGATGCACGTAGGACAGGATTTTACTTCATTGCTCAGAGTTAAATGGAGACTTCACAAACCATTTTTAAAATGTCTTATGCCAGGTGTGGTGGTGCACACCTGTTGTCCCAGCACTCTAGGAGGCTGAGGCAGGAGGATTTCAAGTTCAAGCTCAACCTGGGCAAGTTAGCAACTTAGTGAGTTCCTATCTCAATAAAAAAGAGCTGGGGATGTAGCTCAGTATGAAAGCCATGGGTTCAATCCCCAGTGCAGGGGGGAAAAAAGGAGAAACAAACAAAACCCAAAACAGTCTTATTCCAAGTGATTGTGGGCTGGGTATAGCCAGGGCAGAGCCAGGGTGAGCCTGTGAGAAAGGAGGAGGGCTGTGCTGAGGGAAGCTGGGGGATCCCCTCACAGTGGCTCTTGACTTTCCTTCTCCAAGTGGCTCAGAGGCTGCCTCTTCTTCCTTCCATGCTGCCAGCATTGCTTCAGGGAGCAGGAAAGTTACCCCAGTCTAGCCCCGCAGGCTCCCCACAGTAATTCCTCAATACAGTGAAGTTCTGACTTAGGTGTCTGGAATTCAGCCGGGGTCCCTCCAGTAGGGGTGGGAGATGGAAAACTGAATGAACGATTGATTCCATTGCTTTGGAAATTGTAGCAGGCAAGCTGGACCGTGAGCCACCGTGAGAGAGCCAGCCTCTCATTCCTGACTGGATAGAGGAGGAGGAGTTGAACTCCAAGCCAACAAGTGCTAGGCAAAGCGGTGCCCAGGGCCCTGAGTACCAATGGATGCACAACGAAGCCGCTCTGTTCCCCAAGAACACCCCCCCACCCCCACCCCCGGTCTCCACAAGGAGCATTCCTGAGCGAGGGAAGCAGTGATTGCTTCAGCCCAGCCCCTGGCAGCTGATGCACTGTGCTGGGCCTAGACCGGACTCAAAAAGGCTGGAGGCAGAGGGAGCCCAGCAAAGTCGCAGCCATTAAAGAGCTTCCGGCCTGGCCAAGATGCAGAGGGGATGCGCAGGGCCCTCTGGGTAGGTTAAAGGGAGGGGAGTACGGGGTCTGGGGGCACAGAAAGGGGCAGGCCCTTGGAGAGGCGATGGGCTGGAGCAGATGGCAGCTGGCAGCCTGTGCGCGCGCTCGCGTGTGCGTGCGTGCGTGCGTGTGTGTGTGTGTGTGTGTGTGTGTTCTGCAGCTGGCTGGGGGCAGGGAAGGTGGTGATGTGTACGGAACAGAGCGGGTCCTACAGGCTGAGGCCAGGTAGGCATTGTGGAAGGTGTTGCAGGGATGGGGCCCTGAACCCCTGGAGGTCCCGGCCACAGGAAGGCTGTTGTCTGGTGGGAAAGAGGGCTGCTCTGAGCCTCTTTGAGAACAGAGACCCCTCAGGAGGCTCAGGAGAGCAGAGAGCGCGCGCGCGCGCACACACACACACACACACACACACCCGCCGCCGCTGCTTTCCCTTCACATGCAGGTATTTAGCATGTGAGAGGCCCTGGGTTCAAGCTGCAGTAGCCTCAGTAGTGGGAACTGAACCCAGGGCTTTCCCATGAGCTACATCCCTCGACTTTTTCTTTGTTGTTGTTTTTTGTTTTTTGTTTTTTTTTTTGGTACCGGGGATTGAACTCCGGTCCTTGTGCTTGCAAGGCAGGCCACCGTATTTTTTTGTTTTGAGACAGGGTCTTACTAAGTTGCTTAGTTGTTAAGGCTGGGGTCAATCTTATAATCCTCCTGCCTCAGCCTCCCAGAATGCTGGCATTATAGGTGTGTGCTACCACATCTGGCTTAAAAATATTTTGTAAATTGTGATAAATATAAATAAAAATTTAGGGGCTGGGGATTTAGCTCAGTGGTTCCACTGCCTGCCTCATAAGCTCAAGGACCCGAGCTCGATCTCTGGTACTGAAAAAAAAAAGTTTAAATAAAAAATTAAAATGAAAATTTATAAATCAATATAAATAAAAATTTACCACTTTAACTTTTTTTTTTTTTGGTACTGGGAACTAAACTTAGGAACCACTGAGCTAAATGCTTGGCCCTAACTATTTTTTTGGTGGTGCTGCGGTTTAAACCCAGGGCCTTGCATATGCTAGGCAAGCACTCTACCACTGAGCTACATCCCCAGCTCTACTGTAACCAATTATTTATTTATTTATTTAATTTTTTGCTATGGGGATCAAACTCCAGACCTTGCGCTCGTGAGGCAGGTGGCGGAATCACTGAGCTAAATCCCCAGCTCTACTGTAACCAATTTAAAGTATACATTTCACTCACATGAGCACATTCAGTGTTGTCGAACCATCCCCAGTATTTCCATCATTCTTTTTTTTTTTTTTTTGGTACCAGGGATCGAATTTGGGACTTTTTGTTTTCGAGGCAGGCAGCAGCAACACTGAACTAAATCCCCAGCCCTACATTATTGTTTATCCTCCCAAACAGACACTGTATCCATGAAGTAAATTCCCATCCCTCTCCCCCAACCAAATTTAATTCCACCTTCTGTCTTTATGAATTTTCCTATTCTAGATACCTCGATTTATTGTTTTGAGATAAGGCCTCACTATGTACTTCAGACTGGTTTTAAGTTCACTTTGTAGTCCAGCTGAACTCAAACTCACAGTGATCCTCCTGCCTCTGCTTCCTGAGTGCTGGGGCTATGTGGCACTGCCTGGTGATACCTCAATTTATATGCAATTAGAAACAACATTGAGGTAAAATGAACACCAATAAATAGCACAAAAGTGAAAATCACCTTAACTTTGAATATGTATACCACAATCAAGATAACAAATATGTTAGCTGGGCATTTTGGTGCATGTCTGTAATCCCAGCACTCTGGGAGGCTGAGGCAGGAGGATCATAACAACCTCCAGCTCAGCCTGGGCAACTCAATGGGATCTGTCTAAAAAAAAAAAAAAAAAAATCTGGGAATAGAGCTCAGTGTGAATGCCTTGGGTTTAATCTCCTGTACTGGAAAAAAGAAAAAGAAAGAAAGAAAGGCAGAAAAGAAAGAAAGGAAAAGATAGAAAAGAAAACAAATATGTTAATCATTACCAAAAATTTTCTCAGGTCTCTTTATAATCCCTCCTCCTCCTTCTCCACCCCTAGACAACCACAGGCCTACATTTTATTACCATAGTTTAGTTTGGATTTTCTAGAATTTTAAATAGTGTTACATTGGATGTATTCTTTCTTTTGAAGTACCTACTTTCTTTCAGTGAGCATAAGTCATTTGAGATTAGTCTGTGTTGTATATATAGATAATTGACTCTCTGTTGCTAAATAGTATTAGTTTCGAGGAACGTGGCAGCACCACTGAGCTAAATCCCAGGCCCTGTATGGATTTTTTTTAACCCATTGATCTGTTGTTTTATTTTGTTTTTTGTACTGGGGATTGAACTCAGGACCTTGTGTTTGCCAGGCAGGAGCTGTGCTGCTGTGCTCCATCTCCCATCCCACCCACTGATCTATTTTTTCAATGGGCATTTAGGTTGTTTCTAGCTTTTGGTGTTAGTACATAAAATACAACTGAGTTTTTGTTGTTGTTTGATTTCTGTGCAACAGGCCCTTGCTGTATAGTTCAGGCTGGCTTTGAACTCATTCTGTAGTCCAGGGTGGCTTCGAATTCATAGCAATCCTCCTGCCTCAGCCTCTCAGTTACTGGGAGTATAAGCATGCACCACCATGTCCAGCAGACTACCATTGATTTTTGTATGTTGATTTTCTGTCCTGAAACCTTGCTGAATGCATTTATTAGATTATAGTTTTATGTATTCCTTGGAATTTTCTACATAGATGATCTTATCATCTGGAATAAAGGTAGTTTTCTCTTCTTCCTTTCTAACATGCATATCTGTATTATTTCTTGGCTGGAGTCCCCAGTAAAATGCAGAATGAAGTGATAAGAACAGGCTTTCCCCATGTAGCTGTGGCTTTTTCCTGAGTACCTTTTTTTTCAGGTTGAGGAACCTCCCTTCTATTCATAATTGGCAGAAACGTTTAACAGTTTCTGCATCTACTGAGATGGCTTGTCTTTTCTCCTTTATGAACATGGTAAATTACAGTGATTTTTAAACATTAAACCAACCCTTCACTTCTGGGAGTGCATGCCCTTTGGAGTTGAGCATATAGGATCCAGGTGCCTCCAGCGTATCTTTGGTACCCTTCCTCTGGTTCCCAGAGACACTGGAGGGAGGGAGGGGGCAAAGGTCCAAGGTGGTAGAGCAGGGATGACCAGACTCACAACTTCTTCCTACCAGGCCCCAGGTGAGCCACCCCAGGTGAGCCTCAGGCCAACTTGGGGTGCAGGCATCCGCTCCCCACAGGGTTTGTCCCTAAGGGTGGCCTCTACTGTCACATGCTCTGTTAGGTAGGAAAGTATCTGGGGCTCACTGTGGGCTGGGTTGCACAGGCCTTGCTTCTGCTGGAGCCTCCACCTTTGTATCTGGGAAATGAAGTTGATGTTGCTGCCACTGAGTAGCCGTGTGTCACCTGAAGGGTCCCAGAATGCAGAGGGGGCTTCCTACAAGGCTGAGGGTGCCCAACTGACCTGCTCTGGAGTGGGCTTCCTTTCTGGTTGTCCTCCCAGGGCTGCTTCAGGAAATGGTGCAAGGGTGACAAACCACTTAGACATGGGACAAAAATGTCAGAAGCAGCCTTGGAATCTGACCCCACTGCTCACTAGCTCTGCAGCCTTGGCCATCACCTGATCTTTCAGCCTTAGCCTCCTCCTTTGTAAATAGTAACTAGGCTCCCTGGAGGGTTGGAGTGTGAGGAACATTTGGTGTCACTGCACCAGTCAAACTAGCGAGTTAGGCCCAGGAAAAATGCTGGATGATGTCAGGGTCCTCACAGGTGCCTGGAGACTATGCAGCTCTGACAGAGGCTGTCACGCACTCAGGGAGCTGCCCAGCCCTGGCAGTAAAAGAGGAGGGAACAGGTGCTGGGGGAGGAGCTTTTCCTGTCCTGGTTCAGCTAGCGGTATGGTGAGGCTGCCCCTGCTGCCCCAAGGCTGGCGCTTCCAGAAGCCCTAATCTGTGGCCAAAGACCCCAAAGCTGGTTCCTGACCACATCCTGTAGTCTTACTTTGACTCCCTGGTCAAGGAACCAAAATATATTGCATAGACCAATATGCATTGCTGCTTTGCTGGAACACACAGCTAATGGGGATTGTAAACTCAGTACCAGTAAGGAATTGAAGGGACAAAGTTTAAAGTAAAGGAGGATGCTTGTTTTGGAAAAGGAAGGCAAAAACCAAGAAGGTGGCTACCCCAAAGAACCCTTGATCCTAGCTCTTTTTATTAAGGCTACCGACCCTTTCCCCCCTGTAGACACCTGGAACTTGTCACAGTCTGATTGGCTGTCTGGCTGTCTTCAGCCCTAGTCAGGGCACATCTGCCTACATTCTTTGTGGTCATTTAGTTCCTTTCTGCACTTTTGTGATGGATAAGTGTGGGGGGGTGGGGAGACACCTCATAAAAAGGCTTTGAGTAGTAAAGCATGTATCTGATGCAGTAATATAGCAACCCTCAAGCAAGAATACATACATACATACATACATACCCACAAATTTATATATATGGATACGTATTGTCTTTTTAGATACTAAATAAGTGTTTTTAGGTGGCCACTCCTTGTCTCCTCACATTTTATTACAGGTAAGTAAAGGGGCTGGTTACCCTGGTCTTTCTTGTTTCTGGCTTCATCTGTGTTGTCAACTCTTTCTGATATTCTTAAGTTAATTGCATTACCTGGCACCTTTCCAGGTCTGATTTCTTTTTCTCTTTTTCTACCTTTGTCTTTCTAATCACTCGAGTCTAACTGCAGAGGCAAAAGCTGCTTTTAGTAAGATTTTCTATTATTTTATTTCATAAAGCTTAGTGAGGCCCTTATTTTATTCTTTCCCTGCCTACGATTCCTTCTCCCTACACTGTGGGGCTAGCGCGATGAGCCCCATGGCTTTCTCAGGGACAGGTGAGACAGCACCTCAGACTGAGAGCTGGGGAGGGGGCCCCAGGAGCTCCTGGGCCTTGTGAGAGGTCTGCACTCTCCAAGAGGTGAACTTCTCCCTGGCTGACTCCAAGCCTGCCTCCAACCTGAGAGGTGGGAGCGAAGAGGGACTGGGAGGGGCGGGATCTAAGAGATAAGGGGACTCCTGGTGTCCCTCCTCCCTCCCTCAGCCTGCGCTGTCTCCTCTGGCATTTTGCTCCCGCGGGTGCCAGTGGTTTAGCCGGTCTGGGTTTCCTCTGGTGGCCTAGGTGTCCATTTCATTCAAATATCATTTCCCAGGTGTTTGTGCTGAGTCAGAGCCAGGCTCTAGAGTCATGGTGATGAAAAGAGAACCAAGCTCTGTCCCGGAGGTACAGAGTCTGGGTAACACCCGCGCACAGGGGCTCAGCATGCATGTGGCCCTGGGGAACAGCCCTGATGGCCAGAGGAGGCTCTGTGTGTGTTTGGTGGCAGTGGGGGATGTTTGAGCTGACTGGAAGGAGCCAAATGGGCAAAATTGTGTGGAACATTCCTTGAGGAGGAGCCAGGCAGCCTGGGGACAGCAGGAGGGGGAGGGGGAGGGGGAGGAGGAGACGACCCTGGACAGCCTGCTGGGAAGCCATGGGGGCCGGGATTGAGAGAGTTTCTGGAAATGGACACATGCTTGTAGACTTGCTCCTGTTTCCTGTGTAATTGTTTTTATTTTTTTATTTTTTTATATTTATTTTTGAGACAGTCTTGCTATGTAGTCCAGGCTTGCCTTGAATTTGCAGTGATCCTCCTGCCCAACCTCCCGAGTGCTAGGATTACTGGCTTCTGCCACCATGCTCTGCTTCCTGTGCAATTGTTGAGGCCTCTTGTGTAGAAATGCATCTGGAGGCTCTCAGGACCGGAAGGAAGTGTTAGGCAGAGGGGTGCAAAGATCTGCCATCTGCCTGGAGATCTCACTATGACACACCCCCAGGAGTCACTGGCTGAATCATGGGGGCAGATCCCCCATCTGCCTCAAGGTGGGCAACTGTGTGGTAGCTTTTCCTGCCTGTTTGCCTGGCTCTCACAAGAGGGCCCTCGCTCCACAAATCCTGTGGAGCCAAACCCTTGTCTCAGTCTGTGCTTTGGGAAAGCAGGCCTCAGACAGCCCATGAGAGACTTGCATTTTGCAGCCTAGAAACTGGAGTTCTGTGATCAGCCCCAGGAGAGTTCTTCCTTCCAGCTCTGAGAGTCTTTACAACTGTGTGATTTACTCAGGAAACACAGCAAGTTCACAGCAGAGTTAGGGCTACAGATCACTTCCTAAAGACCTCAGGGTTTGAGGGTTGGGGTTTGGGGGCCTTCTAGACAATGTGGTACAAAGGCCAAGGCCTAAGCTGTGCTCCTGTCTTGTTTTGTTTTATTTTTTTGAGACAGGGTCTCACTATGTACTTGAGACTGACCTGGAACTCACTATGTAGCCCAGGCTGGTCTCAAACACAGCGATCCTCCTGCCTCAGCCTCCCAAGTGCTGGGATTATAGGTGTGCGCCACGACGCCTGGCTTGTACTCCCTGTTTGAATCCCCTTTGCCTTAGTTACTCTAGAGGCCTCAGGTTCCTGAATTCTATTTCTTCCCTCTGTATTAGAATAATTCACATTAAGGTGTGAAGGACAGGCAGCTCAGAACCCTCCCAACAATGTACCCCCAAAAGAAAATGCTTATTAACCTAAGTAAGTCTGTGATCTAATGGACTTTTTGTCAAGGTGATAAAGGAGGTTGGAAAAAATGCATCCAATGCAAATCTGGGGATTTTCCAGGACATGAGGGAGTCATGTATGAGGAGGTTCCTCAGCTTTCCCAGATCAGCCCTGCCTCGCTGCATAACCACACATGTTGAGAAATGTTCACTGCCTTCCTCAGGTCCCCACAGCATGGGCTGTCAATGCATGAGTCCCTAGAAGGGAAGGTGACTGGGTTAAAGGAATGCATTTTACAAAGAACAGCCAGGTGGTGTGAACTAGGCTCCCTGACAAGTGGCTTACTTCAGGTCCAGGACAGGCTGAGTCCCATTGCTGGCTTGGGCAGGTTTAGAGCACAGATCTGGGCTACAGGGGAGGCAGGGCAGGTGTTCCTGAGTGGCAGAGGCTTCACAGCACAGTTCTGGCCTTATTTCTGCCTTTCTGTCTGAGTCGTCTTGGGCAAGTCATTGGCCTTCTCCAGAACATGGTTTCCTCATCTGTAAAATGGCTGGAGTCGAGTTGTCCAGGACCGGGGCATGGAGGCTGCATCTTCTAGAGATTCTAATTTGGGGGATTTAAGCAGAATCTCTGCAGTTTGAGGAACCCTGATCTCTGCCAGACTGCTCAAAGGTAAACCAGCTGTGCAACTTCCCTGGGATAACTTGTTAGAAATGCACATTCACAGAGCCTGGCCTGGTGCTGCAGGCCTGTGAGCCCAGCACTCCGGAGGCTGAGGTGGGAGGACCGCCATGAGTTCAAGGCCAGCTTGGGCTACATAGTGAGACCCTGTCTCAAAAAAAGAAAAAGAAAGAAAGAAGCGAGCAAAGCAGAGCAAGCTCCGGAACCCAGATCCACTGATGCACATCTCTGGGGGTGGAGCCTGGGGACCTGGGCCCTTGCAGCTTCCCCAGGGAGTTCTGAGGCTGCAGCATTCGCTGGGTGTGCACTGTGCCTTCTTCTTTTTTCCTACATTTTTTATTAGTGCATTTGTGTGTACAGATGGAGTTCATTTCTACAGATCTGTGCATGCACATGATGTACTTGAATCATCCCCCATCTGCCCCCTCGCCCTCCCTCTTAGTTTCACGTGTGCTTTTGGGGACGAGGACTTCAATGCAAAGTGTGTTTTCTGCTGCTCCCCGAAGTGCTCGCTGCCTGCACTTCCCAGCGGTACTGAGATGTCATTCTCTTCCTCACTTTAGTTCTGACCAAGAGAAAACGGAGGCTTAGGGGAGGCTGAGTAGCTGCTCTATCTCTTCTCATCTCTCCACATCTTGCAGTATGGATATTGGGATGAATATGTTTCTGGTAAGTGTCAGTGAGCTATTACACAATAAAACTGCCTGTAGGGCCTGGGATTTAGCTCAGTGGTGTCGCCTGCCTCGAAAGCGGAAGGACCTGAGTTCGATCCCTGGTCCAAAAAAACAAAAAACAAACCTGCCTATAAATTATAAACCGCTTGTAAATTTCCTGTCACCTGATGGCAAACAGAGGCTCTGTTGGAACAGGAGCTGTGGTAGGATCTTGGGTTTTGATCAAGGTTTTGGAGCTCATGAGCTGCCGCTCCTCTCTTCTATCTTATTCATTTATTTATTTATTTATTTATTTATTTATTTATTTATTTATTGGGGTACTGAGGAGCAAACCCAGAGCTGGGCTGGAAATTGCCATCCTCCTGCTTCAGCCTCCCAAAAAGCTGAGATCACAGGAGTGGTCCACCATATTCAGCTTCTTCTACCATTTAATATTTTGATTAGGTAATGCATTCATGTGGTTTAGTTTTTAGACAGGATCTCATTGTGTACTTCAGGCTGGCCTTGAACTCATTATGTAGCCCAGGTTGGCCTTGAACTTGTGGTGATCCTCCTGCCTCAGCCTCCCAAGTGCTGGAATTAGAGGTGTACACCACCACACCTGGCTAATGTGATTTAAGCATCATGTAATGAAAGCTATAGTGAGATGTTTTCTTCCCATGCATGTCACATAACTACCCAGTGCTTGTCCTTGCCAGGTAACTGTTTATTGTTTATGGTGTCTAATTAGAATTGGGAAAGTTGAGGAGTCCCCTCTTTTATGAATCCCTGTGACTCCCCAAATCTCTGATAATGCCCTTTTTTCAAATTTGCCTTAACAGCCTGACAAAAAGTTCATTAGATCCCAGAATTATTCCTCAACAATAAGTCCTTCAAATTATGGCCATATTTGGGTCAACTTCTTTTAAAAATACTCTATCTCTGAGACAGTTCTGAGCTGCCAGTCTTTTACAATTTTAGTGTGAGTCATTCAAACACAGAATCTCTTTATGCAAACACAAACATTAGAGTCCACCAAAAAATGTATCCACACTTCTGCAATACTAATAAATTCAGTACTAATAAACGGAGGCTCATGGCCACCAGTTTGAGCACCTCTTGTAATTGTAGAGGCCAAAGACTACTTGCATTATTTTTGGTACTGGGGATCAGACGCAGGTCCTTGCACTTGCAAGGCAGGTGGCAGAACCACTGAGCTAAATCCCCAGCCCAACTTGTATTAATCTTGTAATGTCTCAGTAAATTTAGTATTAAAATATATATGAGTTTCACTTTTCCTGATATGTACATTTTGGTAGACTCTGTATATATTAAACAATATACATACAGTATAATGCTTTGCCACCTCTGCTGAACACAGTTTACAAAATAGAATACATGCTGTTCTGAGCCTTACTTGTTTCACTGGATATAACACACTGTGGTTATAATACATTATGTGTGGTGCACATTCAGGTTGTTTTCTTTCTCTTATCATAGACACCTCTGAGTGAACAACCCCACCCCTGTGGCTTTTTGCAGGTGCACACTATGTATGCAGATAATTCCCAGCAATGGCGTTGCTAGGTATCTACATTGGTAATTGGAGAGGCAGTGCCAATTTCCCCACCATAAAGTCAATACCAAGTTGCATCTGCATCAGCTTTGGATGAGAAATTGCTATTTTCCTACATCATTGCCAATGAATTAAATTGTCAGAGCATTGGATTTTCACCAATCTGATAGGCGAAAAATAGTGACTCAATGTCATCTTAATTTAAATGTGTTATGAAAAGTTTTAAATTTGTAGCATGGTTAAAGACCATTTCTATTTCTTTCTCTAGGGTAGTCTTACTCATTGCTTATTTAAAAAAAATTGGAGTTTCTTTGGCTTTTTCTGTTTCATTCTAGGAGCTGTTGGTATGTCAGGGATTAGCCTTTTGTCTTTTTTTTGTACCAGGGATTGAACTTGGGTCCTTGTGCCATGCAAGGCAGGCGGCAGAACCACCGAGCTAAATCCCCGGCCCAGCCTTTTGTCTTCGATTCAGTTGCACCCAGTGCTTTGTTTTGTTGTTTTGGGTTTTGGGGTGAGAGTATGAGCCAGGTTTTACTTTTACACAGAAAAATCTCTCTCAGCATGTATGGCTTTAGAAGGTGCAGTCATGGTGCATAGACCTTCCTCACCTTAAGGTAAAAGGATATGGTCTGTGTTTTCTAATTGCATATTCAGATTTTAATCCATTTGGAATTTATCTTGGTGTATGTTGGAGGAATAGATCCACCTTTATATTTCTTGCCCCAGATGGCTCTCCTTTCCCTGCTAACTGAGAAGTTATTTTATCTTAAGCTTTTCCCCATAGGCTTTGGATCCAGTCCAGAACTTGCTGCCTTTCCCTCTTGATTCCCACTGCTTTGTCTATTAAGGTTCATAATACATTTTAGTGGGCCAGGGATTTAGCTCAGTGGTGCTGTGCCTGCCTCGCAAGTGCAAGGTCTTGAGTTTGATCACTGGTACCGGAAACAAACAAACAAACAAACAAACATCTTACTATATGGAAGGGATGTTCCCTTTACTTTTTGAGCTCTCTCAGGATATCTTTGCTTATTTATTTTTCCATTTCAGCATTAAACTATAATGTCTAATCACACACACGTGTGTGCTGGTATTTTGATTGGAAATGCCTTAATGAAAACTCAAGTATTACACACATGAAGAAAAGAGAATAAATTATAAGTATGTAGCTTGATGAGTTATCGCAAAGTGAACATACCCTTGAAACCGTTGCCCAGATCTGGAAATATGTGTAGTTATGAAAAGAAAACATCTCACTATAGTTTCTATTGCATGAACTTAGCCGCATGCAGACGCCACCGCCCTGCAGGCCACAGTCACTATTCCCACTCTCTGGAGGGGTAATCATCCTCCTCACTTCTTATGCCATGGATTGGTTTTGCTGGGCTTAAAAGAGCCTTTATTTAAATATATATAAAATATATGTATCTTTTTGTGTCTGGCTTCTTTTGGCCGCCATTATGTTTGAGGGTTTATTTACCCATTCTGCTCTTGATGGACATTTAAGTTGTTCCCAGTTTTGGGGTCTCATGAATTGTGCTGCTGTGAGCATCGTAACACATGGCCTTTGGTACCAGGTCTACACATGTTTTCTTTCTTTCTTTCCTTCCTCCTCCTCCTCTTCCTTCTTGTATAGTACTGCAGCTCCAACCCAGGGCTTCATGCATGCTAGGCAAGAACTTTACCACTGAGCAACACATGCAGCCCTTTTATTTTGAGATAGAGTTCTTGCTAAGTTTCCCAACCTGGACTTGAACTTGTGATTCTCCTGCCTCAGCCTTGTGAGTAGCTAGGATTCCAGGTGTGCATGCTGGTGGTTGGGTTTCAGTATACACATTTCTGTTAGATATTTGTTTATGAACAGAATTACTGGGCCGTGGGAGATGCACAAATTCATCTTAGAAAGTACTGCCAAACCCTTTTCACACTAGATGTGCGAGGGCTGGAGCTGTGGCTCAGTGGCACTGCATCTTCCTGGCAAGTGCAAGGTCCTGAGTTCAGTCCCTGGTTCTGAAACAAACAAACAAACAAACAAAAAATAGATGTGCAATACTTGGATTTGTTGATCTTTTTAGTTTTAGTAATTCTGGTGTGTGTTTAGTGGTATTAATTGTAGTTTTTAATTTCATTTCTTTAACAATTAGGTTGAGAACATTTTTATATGTGCATTGGCCATTTAAACATCTTTCAAAAATTCATAACAAATTTTTATAAAATCTTTTATAAAATATATAGGATTGTTACTGTACTGTATACTTAAAAAGTACCAATAAATTCAATTAAAAAACCAAAATAAAATATATAGGATTCCTTTAAATTTGCACATTAAATTCAGAGGAATGACATTTATTAGGTTACATTTTCCTACCCAAGAACATAGTAAGTTTTTTCTTTTGTTTAGATCTTCTTAGTATTGTTTATAGTTTTTTTTCCCCAGTATCAGGGAGAGTTGAGCTATACCCCTAGCCCTGTCTTTATTTTGAGACAGAATCTCAATATATTGCCCAGGCTAGCCTCGAATTTGTGATACTCCTGCCTCAGCCCTGCAAGTAGCTGAGATTAGAAGCATGTGTACCATGCCTGGCTACAGTTTTTAGTATATACCTTGCACATTTCTTGACAAGTTTATTCCTGGATATTTAAAAGATTACCAAATTCAAGTGCAACACATTTATCTGCAAACAGTGATTCTGCTTCTCAGTAACCGAAGGCAGGTAGCCTGGCGAACACCTGTGATCCCAGCTGCTCAGAAGCCTCCCAGGTGCAAGTGGAGGAGCTCCTTTGACTGAGCCAAGTGCTACCACGGACTCCTCTGGGGAGAGTCTGTGGTCCTCATGGTCTTATGTGCATCTCGTTTCCTGAATGAAGGAATTGTTGGTTTGATTCTCACCCAGGAATCCATTCCTTCCTGGTGTAACGGGCCATTGGAACTGGGGTTTCCCATTGAATTGGGAAAACTTCCTGATTCTGATCTTAGTCTTTTCCAGTTAGTTCTCTCTGGAGTTTTTGTAGATGCTACTTCAAAATAAAATATAGTAACCCCCTCAGAAAAAGGATAACCAAATAACTTTCATTTTTGTTTATGTACGGATTTGGAGAATGTCCCAGTGGACTTAGACTGTCTGAGCTTTTCTAAAACTAACCTTGGGACTCATTGCCCTGATGTTTCTCAGGAAGGGTGAAAAAAAAAAGGGTCTAGGTCAGAAACAGAGCAAAGTCTTTGTCACCCACTTGGCAGAGCGGTCCAGGGGTTCAGACAGTGGCCTCTGGACAAGGCAGGGCTGAAATCCTTGCTCTACTCCTGACTTCTGTGACCTTGGCCAGGTCACCTCACCTCATCCTCAATTTCCTCATAGGAAAGAGAAGATAATATTTCCTACCTGCTGCCCTGTTGAGATTCAGTGAGTTAATATAGGGAAAATTCTTTGGCTTGTGGCAGACAA